CACATGGCGCCAGCGTAATTGGTGGCAAATAAGGGCACGGCGCCATGTGGCGCTAAGATGGCGCCACATGGCGCCAGCGTAATTGGTGGCAAATAAGGGCACGGCGCCATGTGGCGCTAAGATGGCGCCACATGGCGCCGTGCCCTTATTTGCCACCAATTACGCTGTAAACTTGGGAACAGGGGTAATCGGTGGTCCTGAGCATGAAAATGGCATCCGTTCTCTTAGCGCCGCGCCATGTGGCGCTAAGATGGCGCCACATGGCGCCAGCGTAATTGGTGGCAAATAAGGGCACGGCGCCATGGTGGCGCTAAGATGGCGCCACATGGCGCCGTGCCCTTATTTGCCAACCAATTACGCTGTAAACTTGGGAACAGGGAGGGGTAATCGGTGGTCCTGTGCATGAAAATGGCATCCGTTTCTTAGCGCCGCGCCATGTGGCGCTAAGATGGCGCCACATGGCCAGCGTAATTGGTGGCAAATAAGGGCACGGCGCCATGTGGCGCTAAGATGGCGCCACATGGCGCCAGCGTAATTGGTGGCAAATAAGGGCACGGCGCCATGTGGCGCTAAGATGGCGCCACATGGCGCCAGCGTAATTGGTGGCAAAATAAGGGCACGGCGCCATGTGGCGCTAAGATGGCGCCACATGGCGCCGTGCCCTTATTTGCCACCAATTACGCTGTAAACGGGTTCGCCCGCCTGTTTTTGGATTTATCTTGGAACATAGGTAACGGTGGTCGCTGTGCCTTTTAGAAATGGCAATGCCGTAGAGTTCTTAGCGCGCGCCATGGGGCGGTAAGATGGCGCCACATGGCGCCAGCGTAATTGGTGGCAAATAAGGGCACGGCGCCATGTGGCGCTAAGATGGCGCCACATGGCGCCGTGCCCTTATTTGCCACCAATTACGCTGTAAACTTGGGAACAAGGGGGGTAATCGGTGGTCCTGAGCATGAAAATGGCATCCGTCTCTTAGCGCCGCGCCATGTGACGCTAAGATGGCGCCACATGGCGCCGTGCCCTTATTTGCCACCAATTACGCTGTAAACTTGGGAACAGGGGTAATCGGTGGTCCTGAGCATGAAAATGGCATCCGTCTCTTAGCGCCGCGCCATGTGACGCTAAGATGGCGCCACATGGCGCCGTGCCCTTATTTGCCACCAATTACGCTGTAAACTTGGGAACAGGGGTAATCGGTGGTCCTGAGCATGAAAATGGCATCCGTCTCTTAGCGCCGCGCCATGTGCGCTAAGATGGCGCCACATGGCGCCAGCGTAATTGGTGGCAAATAAGGGCACGGCGCCATGTGGCGCTAAGATGGCGCCACATGGCGCCGTGCCCTTATTTGCCACCAATTACGCTGTAAACTTGGGGAACAGGGGTAATCGGTGGTCCTGAGCATGAAAATGGCATCCGTTTCTTAGCGCCGCGCCATGTGGCGCTAAGATGGCGCCACATGGCGCCAGCGTAATTGGTGGCAAATAAGGGCACGGCGCCATGTGGCGCTAAGATGGCGCCACATGGCGCCGTGCCCTTATTTGCCACCAATTACGCTGTAAACTTGGGAACAGGTTAATCGGTGGTCCTGTGCCATGAAAATGGCATCCGTTTCTTAGCGCCGCGCCATGTGGCGCTAAGATGGCGCCACATGGCGCCAGCGTAATTGGTGGCAAATAAGGGCACGGCGCCATGTGGCGCTAAGATGGCGCCACATGGCGCCGTGCCCTTATTTGCCACACTACGCCTGTAAACTTGGGGAACGCGGTAATCGTGGTCTGAGGCATCGAAATGGGATTCCCCGTCTTAGCGACGCGCCATGTGGCGCCCTAAGCGGCGAGCCATCGAGCGAGGCGTAATTGGCCTACGCGTAGGCACCGGCCGCGCCATGTGGCGCTAAGATGGCGCCACATGGCGCCGTGCCCTTATTTGCCACCAATTACGCTGTAAACTTGGGAACAGGGGTAATCGGTGGTCCTGAGCATGAAAATGGCATCCGTTTCTTGGCGCCGCGCCATGTGGCGCTAAGATGGCGCCACTACATTGGCGGCCAGCGAAGCTCCTTTTTTGCCAGCCAATTCGCCTGTAAGCTGGAACCAGGGTACATCGGATGGTCCGTGGCATAGAAAATGGCGTCGCGTTTTTTGGCCGCCGGGCGCCCAATTTGGGACCCCGGCACGGCTACGGGTTGCAGGACGCGCCTAAGCCCAGGATTACCGGTAATCTATTTTTGGAATCCTGGTGCCAAAAATTCATCGTGGTCGGGAAGCTTTCGTCTCCCAATTTTTTTAAGTTGGAATTTTTGGCATTGTGTCTTACTGGAACCATTTCACGCCAATAGAAAAACATAATCTATTGTCCATCCTTCCAGTATATTCATCCGCGCGTCACTATCTATGACTGAGAAACAGGCGCATACAAGCAAGTCCATTGGTGACTGCACAATTTACTGAATTATCATTCACATCCCTAAAAAAAAAACAGGGGATATTGCAGTATGCATAATTACAGGCATACGCATTACATACAAGCTACAATGGGCATAGCAGAAAAACTAGGAAGCATAGTAACAAGATGTGGTTATTTGACACGAGTCAGGCAGTATGAATCTTTACAGTTAGTGGGATGGGTGTTTGCTGATCCTTCTAGCTCATAGTTTGTTAGCATAACTCTGGAACGGCTTTTCATTACAGGCCTCTGGTAGCAACACTTACACCAACGTCTATCGTTGGCCTTCATCTCTTTAATTTCAACCACTTTCTTTTCCTCCCTTGGCTAGTGCTAGGTCTTTAATTGGCATCAAGCCACGCCTTCACAATTGCGTATTTGAAATCGTTCAGCTGCATTTTAGCATCAGCACTCAGGTTGACAGAAAAACCAAGGCGGTTGACCACGAGCAGCTCCTGCTAATGAACTAGGTGGTAAGAAAAGCCTCATGTACCACTTTGCACTCCTTCGTACAAATGGTGTGTACGCCGCCATCTGGTCGCTTACATCAACAAACCCTTTCATCCTGTTGTAATCTTCTACCACCTGAGGCTTCATGTTGGCACTGCGGCGTCCATCGTGCTTTGTTGAAAGCATGAAGATGTCTCTCTTGTCTTTCCACTTAAGAAGCAGTACACCGTTATTGTTCTGGAGGTAGTATGATTCGCCTTTCTTGAGTTTTCTGGTCGAAAGCGCCGGAGGTATCCCCTCCGATTCTTTCTAATTGTTCCCACTAGGTTGGTCCCTTTGGAAAGCAAACATTCAGCCAGCGGCAGGCTCGTGTACCAATTATCCGTACAGAGATCCCGTCCTTGATTCAGGTACCCTTCCATCAGCTCCAGTACCACGGCGTCAGGCACTCCGCCTACCCTCGTGACGTCCTTGCCGGCGTAGACTTTCACTTTATGGGTGAACCCCCCTTTCGAGCACAATTTGAAGAGTTTGATGCCGTACTTGTATCGCTTTGACTTATTGAACTGTCTGAAAACGACTCGTCCACGAAACGGCACCATGGATTCGTCGATGCAGATCTCCCTCGGTGGCTTGTACATCTTTCTCGAACGACGCATTCATTAGATCCAAGATTGGTTGGATTTTGTAGAGGCGGTTCGTCTTGTCGCTGTTGTCATTGTCTACGAAATGTAAGCATTTCAGTAGAGCTTCGTATCGATTCCTAACCATTGTTTTCGTGACTGCAGGGTTGCAGTAAATGTTGTCTGTAGACCAGTAATCGCGAAGCTTCGGCAACCTCACAAGACCCATGTACAGACAGATACCGAAAAACTGTTTGATTTCTTCCACAGTGGTATCGATCCATTCTTTTCCTTTGTCCGTCATCTTTTTTCTTCCATATCTATTCGTCTCCAAAACTATGAGATTCAGAAGCTCGTCGCTTAGGAAGAGTTCAAAGTAGTCAGAAGGTTCTCCGCATCTTTCAACGTCTGTATGAGGCCCAACACTCTTCGGCGAAGGCAAACCGATCATAACCCACGACATCTTCAGTCCAAGCTTCCTCTTCTTCGTCTTCTTCATCAGAGTCTTCGTCATCAGATTCGTTAGGTGAGTCGTACTCCACTGGCACGACCAACGCTTGGGCGACGGCATCGTCATCAGGAGCAGCTTCCTCTTCATCACTGTCGATCAAAAGCTCGTCGAAACTGACGCTCAGTTCGTCGGAGACGTCCATACTTATGCTTTGATGCAAGGTTCAATGCTAATCAATATATTTCAGGTGTTTTTATGGCCACGTGGGCTCATTATCGATTGGAACGGTAGACCACAAAAGTGATCTCTTGATGTACCTGCCGCTCTGACCACATCTGCTATGTTAGTAATGCGGACACTAAAATCTCAATACTCAGTTCATATTGCCTCGTTGGGAAGGCTGTGGCGCTAGAAGATGGATGCATAATCCGTGTTTAGAATCGTCAACTACTCCTACTCCCGAATTTACAGCGAAGCTTGTGGCAAAAAAGGCTCCAGCGCCAATTGGCGCCAAGAAATAGATGCCATATCTGTGTTTAGGACCGCCGATTACCCCTGTTACCAAGTTTTCCAGCGTAATTGATGACAAAAATGCCGTGGCGCCATGTGGCGCCAACTTCACGCCAAATGGCGCGGCGCCAAAAAAAGATGCCATTTTCATGCTTAGGACCACCGATTACCCCTGTTCCCGAGTTTACAGCGAAATTGGAGGCGAAACAGGTTTTGGCGCCAGTTGGCGCCAATTGGCGCCACCTGACGCCAGCGCTGAAAACTACTGCTATATTCATGTTCAGCACCCTTGAATACCCCTCTCAGTGAAGTTTCGTCTCTGATGAATTTTCACGACCACTGAGGTTATGTTAGTCAAAAAGACTGTCATCTTGGACAATGCGTCCCAACGTCGACCCGCAAAGAAAAATGCGCGCGGTCCCACATGGCAGACACGCGAAAAATGGCATTGTCGCCAACGTGTTAAATAGCTGACAAGTTTTTGAAGAATTGCACGAAGGCGCCCTATAAGTTGAAATCACTCTAATCTCCAAAGAATAAAACCAAATATCACAAGTTAAGGATTCGTAAGAGTCAGGCACTGACTCGCTGAAAACTATGCAAGCCGAATGAGGACTTTTGACCATGACTGCAACTCCACCACCTCTTTTGCGAACCCTATCAGCTTTAAAAATTTAATATTGTGTTGCCATTAACCCAAGCAGCGGAGCCATATTAGTTTTAGAATGGAACCATGTCTCACGCAAAATGAGTAGCTCAAAGTTTCATAAAGTAAATGTGAGCTACTAAA